CCGCCGGCGCCGCCCCCAGCCTTTGATTTGCACGCGCCCCTCGTGCCTACGGGCCGCGCCCTGCATCCGAGAGCGCGCGCTGCCTGCCGCGCGACGCGCGTCGCGGCGGCCGCCGTCGGCCCCGCGTCTGCACGTCCAGCGCCAGCGCCGGCACGCGGTCGCCCGCGCGTGTGCTCGTGGCGCGCTTCTTGCACCCCTTACACTGCTTCCCATCGGCCGCGCATGCACCCCGATCTGTCCCGCCCGACACTCGAGCTCTTTGATTCGCGGCCCCGCGGTCGGCCCGATCGGTCGCCGGCCGCAAGAGAGGCAAGCAACACGACACCCGTCGGCAGCGCTCGTGCCTACCGCTTCGGGCGAGCGCTCGCCCCTGCAATCCTCTCAACAACTGCATGCACGTTGAATTTGCGGCGCCTCTCGACCCTGGCATGCGCCGACTCCGGCGCAGCGCCGGCTGCCCGGCGAGCATTTGCGGGCGGGTGCACGCATGGCCCACCCTCGCTCGCCAATGCTCTTTGATCTCCTGCACCCCAGCCGCTGCAGATCGCCGTGCCTCGCTGGGACGGCGCACGCGGGTGTGGCCGTTCTGTGAGCGTACCATGCAAAACCGTTGATGAGCTTGCTGCCCCTATGTGATGCCCGTCCCTCTCTACGCTCCCCCGCCCGCTCTACCGGCCGCGCCGCCTGCGCCGAGGGCCCCGCGGCGCGCCCGCGAGCGCGCGGGCGCCGCGCGCACCGACCGCAGGACGCTGTGCGTGCACCCCCACTGACGGAGCCCGAGCGTGCTGAGCCTTTCCCGCCACCGATTGAATTGATGCCACCAAAGCACTGACCGGCCGGCTTATGCCGGCGCCACAATGAGGCGCCGGGCCGCGTGCCGCGACACCCGGGCGCCCCCCCAGACCCTCGCCCGCCCGCTCAGCCGCCGCGGCCGCGGCCGCTGTGCGGGGACGCCTGGGAGCAGAGCGGCCGGCGGCCCCCGCCGCCTCAACACGGCGTGCACCTGCCTCCACGCCCCGTTTCTCCACCTGGCCCCGCACCTGCTTTATCGGAACGAGAACTTCCCAGCGGGAACTTCTCGCCAGCCCGTGGAATGCCACGTGCCCCGTTGACGCGCTGAGCAGAGTGGCAACCCCAGACCAATCGCTCTGAAGCCGCGAGCATTCGTGCGCCCCCGGAAGCAGCCGCATGTGGGTGCACCCCGTTGTGCTTCCAGTGCCCCTAAACCGGGGACTTTGACCGCAACGCTTTGATTCATCCCCAGGCCCGGGCCCCGGCGGGGCTGCGCCGCCCGCAGAGGCGGCTGGCGCGCCCGCCCGCGCCCTGGCAGGCGGCCGGCCGCGGCGGCGGCGGCACGCCTGCGTTTCGAGCGGGGGCGCGCCCGAGGCCGGGGGGCCCGGCGCGCAATTCGAATTGCATGTGGGTTTCTTGGAAGCAACACTGCTCTTTTTTTGTTCGACGCAACTGCGGGGCCCCCTGCTGCTCTGGCGCTTTGGTGCCATGGCTGCGCCTGAGGCGGGCGCCTGGCGTATGTGCACGGCCGCGCGCACCC